TGCATTGCCTCCCAAGGCTTGGGCGTTGCTGTCAGACTCTGCATTGGCAATGTTACTCTATCTTTTCTGGGCGGCAGAATCGTGGGCGAGATGGCCAACCAACATGCTAGTGACCCACATAATGCTTTTGGCCAAGCCTCAGGGGGGGGGGTCAGGCCGAGCGCCCTGCTGCCGTCGATGTATCGTGCATACACCAAGCTGCGAATGGGACATGTGCGATCTTGGATTGCCCGTCGCAACCGCCCCTACTTCGCCCTCGGCGAAGGCAGATCGACACTGGATGTAGGCGCCAGGACCTTGCTCTATGCTGAGGCCAACGCAGGTTCGCAGTCCAAGTCAATTCTCACGGCGTTGGTGGATATCAGCAAATGTTTTCACCGCGTCTGCTGGGGAAGGGTGCTGCGGGCAGCGGCTCAGCTCGACTTTCCGACGCCGTCGCTCAAGCTATGCCTGGCGATGCACTACGTTCCGAGGCGCAGTCGTTGGGATTCGACCTACAGTTACGCGGTCCAAGTGCAACGAAGCATTCTCCCTGGATGCTCTGTGGACATGTAGATGCTTCTGTTGGTCATGATGCTACCCTTCGATGTGTTCGAGAAGTCTGTCGCACTGGACGAGGCGCATCATTCTTTGGATATATATGCAGACGATATCACGCTCCAGGTTGTCGCCACGTCGCAGGACATCGTTGAGGCATCGGCGCGCATCATCCAGAGGTTGGCGGCGGTACTGAACGCGCTGGACCTTCCCATAGCTTCGGACAAGGCTAAGATCATCGCCTCGTCGCCAGGCGTCGCGCAGCAGGTAACCAGACAAGTGCGGCGACATGGTTTCCGAGCGCGTTCTGCATTGGAGATTTTGGGCATGGAGGACCGCGGTGGGGCAAAGCTTCGTCATAGCGCCATCAGGAAGCGAATGGCAAAGATGAAGGCCCGGCTACCACGCTTCAAAAGGTTGTGCGCCATGGCACGGGTTGGCAGAGCAGTTGCACAGCCTTGCATAGGCCCTGCCCTCTTGCACGGGGTCCAGGTGATTGGGGCCACCAAGACCATGACCGCAGCCATGACTAGGATGATCAGGATTGGCTGGAGTCGCACGCCATCTGCAACTTCGACATGGCTCGCGTCTCAGCTGGAACCTCGGAGAGATCAGCATCCAGAGATATTTGCAGTTGCGGGGCCGCTCTACACGTTGGCTCAGATGGTGGCAGCCTCTTCCGTACCACGCGAAGTGCTACGCCAGGCTTTCGTGCAACAGCAGTAGGCTCTGGGTAATGATTCAAGGTCGGCAGCTGTTTCTGGTCCTGCAGGTGCGGCATGGAAGATATTGGTCCACTTGAAGTGGAGAGTGCATTCACCTTTCGAGTGCACCACGGCGAACGGCATCCAGCTGGACCTGACCGACGATTCGCCAGACTGGATCCGCACCTTGGCGCGCAGGTCGTTCATCAATATGAAATGGGAAGAATGGGCTCGCCGTAAAGACCACGCTCCCGAGACAACAGCACCAGCGAGAAGTCCGAGCGGCTACTGGATGAAGCCTTTGCGGATGCTCCTTGCGCCGAAGGAACAGGCTCGTCGCTGGAAGCTATCGCCCAGGGCCTGATGTGCGCTCAGATCGACCGTCATCGGTGGCCAGTGGTCTCAGGCGAGGCTACACAAACACGGATATGCTGGAGATGGGGAACACATGTTTTGTCAGAACTGCCCAGGCACACTTCATCATCGTCTTTGGTGGTGCCCCAACTTGGACGACGTGAGGACGCAGGCCGTGGACCAGCACATAATCGAAGCAGCACGAGCAGCCCCAGCCAATGATATATACACGGGGTCTCCTACATCGAGATGCTTTGCCCAGTTTGCCTCCAGTCCGCATGCATGAGAAGTGGTAGTATGACTACGGCGGTCGCGATGCCACGATCACGGGAGAAATCTACACAGATGGAGTTGGTCGCATTTTGGTGGGATGGCCAGAGGCATCGAGGGCAGGCTGGGGCTTTGCGATGATGAGAGGGCGCCAGCTTGTAGGACTTGCTTACGGGCCACTTCCTGGAGCCCAGCAGTCGGTGCCCAGAGCGGAGATGATGGCAGTTATCTTCACTCTCAGAAGTGGAGTCTTACCCATGCACATTCACACGGACTGTATGACGACGATCGACGGCATCAACAACGGCAGGAGTTGGTGCTTGCACGCCAGGCGGCCCAATGTGGACCTGTGGCGTGCCCTCTGGCACGCACTGGAGGACCAGGGCGGCCTTTCGGATCTGCTGGCGATAGAGCACGTGAAAGGCCATCGAACCCAGAAGGGTGCCCTCACCACCTCCGACCAGGAAGAGAAGAAGGGCAACGACTATGCTGATCTGGCTGCAAAGAGGGGGCTGGACAAACATGATGTGCCGACCCACGCTCGTGGGCTACACGCTGAGCTGCGGGATGGACTCCGACAGATCGCATCATGGATTGGAAATTCACAGAGTTTGATGGAAGCCGCTGCCCCTGATCGAGCACCTCCACCAGCTCGAAGGCCTCGACGGGACCAACGCGTACGGCGCCCACGGCCGAGGCGGCAGCTCCCGCAGCCGACGTCACATGAGCGGCTGCATGAGATTGTGCGTGCTGGTTCTTTGTGGAAGTGTACCCATTGCACGCGCTTCGCGCGAACGGCATCTGGACGTGGGAGGCTCGCCCAGCAGATTTGCTTTGTTGTTTCAGCTCCGCCCCCCCCCCCCCCCAGAGGCGCCGTTAAGTCTTGAAGGATCCCAAGGAGCCAAGAGGGCCGCAGAAGAAGAGATGCAAGATAATCGTGCTGTGCGTCCCAGACGGGACCTCACCTCGGTTGTGCCCTCTCCTCTTGACCCCTCCTCGGACTCCCTTGAGGTTGCTCCTGCCCCCCCCCCCCCCCCCTCACCCCGAGCCCAGGCCCAGGATCCTGGCCAGGCCCGTGGAGGAGGTGGCGGAGCTTTTTATAAGGCAGGTTAGGCCCAGGGTAAACATCCCGAGCAGGCCTCAATGTGCCTTTCGCCAGGCCGTCGACTGCGTTGAGTCTGGCTCGAAGAAGCGTCCCAGATCGGCTGCCCCTGGGAGGGCCAGCGTTTCCCTCCCCAGCAGGACGCTCCCCACTGAGGGTCCCGTTCCGCCCGAAACTGCGCGAGGCCATATCTTATATAGAGCTGGCGAACTAATTGGATGCACGGTATGCGGGTCCTTCTCAGAGAGGTCTGCGCGCTCACAGCTATATGCCGATTGTGATCCCAGCTCGCTGCAAGATAACCCTCAGCGAAAGTGGCGCAGAGATAATTTCGCTTCGGGCCGTCATCCCAGGGCTGGCCGAAAGCACCCAATCCCGACCCCCCGCAGGCTCTTAGTCACGGATCTTGCGGTTCAATGGTTAGGATTGTTATCAAATTTACCTTCATAATGTGACAACTTCTTTGGTGTTTTAACCTCTCGCTTGGAGTGGCTGACTATCCGTCGCCCCCTCCAGGCGTCCATGTTTGTCCTGACCAGGACGTCCTGGTCGGTGAGGGAGGGGCGCCCCGCTGCCGTGATGTTCCGGCTGGGCGATCGCGCGGTGGCCTTCCCTTTCGGTGTGTGCGATTGTGCGTTCTCGCCTTTTCCCATCGCTCCTGTCCGTCCCGTCCTCGATTCGGCGCGTCGCTCTACGTGCTCGCTACTCCTCCTTCTCCCTCCTCGTCCTCCTTCTTCTCCTGCTCCTGCCTCCTCTGCCTCTCTCCTTCCTCCTCCCTCCTCCCGTCCTTCCCTGGGAAGGGGTCAGGGGGCGCCCGTGATGTACTGGAGCCGGCGCGCCCCCGGAGGACCCCCCCTCTGCGACTCCTCGCAGACCACGCATGGCGCCAGCATCGCAGAGCGGAATTATTGTTCGGAACACTTTTTGATTCGCGGGTCGAGAGCGCACCTCTTCCGGTCGAAGCTAAGCGGGCCGCGCAAAGCTTGAATTAACAGAGGGGGGACAGAAGGAGCGCCGCCTCACGGCAAGGCCGGGAGGAGGTAAAGTTATTGCTCGGAACACGGTGGGATAGACCCGGATTGTCCTGGATATCCGAGCGCGTTTCACTGCTCGCAAAGTGCCTGTGGCAAGCGTCCGCAAAGCGTCTTGTGTTCCCTCGATGTAAAAGAGGTCGCAGATGCCCCGCGGTGGATCCAGGCCGTTTGCGAGGAGTTGTTCTGTGAGTAGTGGAAGGCGCTTGTCTACTGGAGAGTTTCGTTGCGGATTTCGGAGCGATTGTCGTGCGGATTTGTCTTTTTTGGCCAGGAATGCAGATTACAAAAAAGCAACGTGAAATTCACCTCTTTTTTTTTCTTTCGCCAGTTCGAAGTTTTGCGTTGACAGAAAACCACGCGCAAATCCGTTGGAGTACGTGTGCAAGGTCGGTGCAGTGCGAGGATCATCGAAGAGGGAAAGGAAAGGCACAGACATAAAAACTGTCGGAGACTCGCGCGGACCTCCCAGCAGTTCATGCTCGTGCCGATGCCTGTTCCCTCATCGTTGCGCGACGGCCTGCCCCGAACCACCTCTGGCTCGGCCTGAGCGGCTGCCGCAGCGATCGCGGCGGCCACAAATCGGCGCAAGGTCCTGTCACGGAGCGGCGTGCTCCTTCCCCCCTCCCCGCCGCATTGCGAGGTAGACAGTCTAGCAAGGGAGAGTTTCCAGTGTATGTCCAGCACGGGCAGTCTGGTAGATGGGGTCCGAGTAGATGGGGTCGGAGGATCGCGCCGCATCGGCGATGCATCGCATATGCGGCTCGATGCGGAGCATGATTTGCTTCACGTCGACGTCGCCGAGGCATCGCCCGCCTCGCCGATGCATCGCCGATGCATCGGCGATGCGGCGCGATCCTTCGACCCCATCCACTCCGACCCCATCCAGGAGGCCTCTCCAAGCTGATGCCCCCCGAAGGCATCGGCGATGCGGCGCGATCCTTCGACCCCATCCACTCGGACCCCATCTAGGAGGCCTCTCCAAGCTGATGCCCCCCGAAGGAGGACGCCGCGACCCGCGTCCAGGCCGTGTTCCGGGGGAGCCGGGCGGTGAGGGCCTTCCGCCAGGCGCAGGACGCCGCCGCCGCAGGCATTCCCGTGTGCACGGGCGCGGAGGGCGCGGGGACCTCCTGCGCCACGGCAAGCTCGCGTCGCGTCGACACGGGGCCACAGGATCCAAGAACAAACATTGCATCAACCTAGATTGTCTTGACGAACGATCAAAACGCACCCATACCCCTAGGGGGACGGAATGAGCTATGGGTGCGTGTTGTCGGATGGGGGTCCCCGCTCGATCGGGAGCCCCCCCCAGGGGTCCGACAACCCGCACCCATACCCTCGGCCAGTCCTTCTTCCTCCGACCTCCCTATGGGTATGGGTGTGTGTTGTTCGGTCGTCATTGTCAGAGCTCCGCGCGGATTGCTCTCGGAACGGCGCCGGAGCCTCCTGGCGGCGCCTGCGGCGCCGCCCCGGGCGCGCTGCGCGCGCCAGGGGGGGGGGGCCCAGCGCCGATGCGAGGTCAATCCGCGCGGACCTCCGAAAGTTTCTGTTTTATGACGTTGCAGTCGGACCGAGGTACAAGATCGAGGTCGGTTCGGGGAGGGTACCCTGATGTTCTTCGTCTTGTTGGCTCCTTTTGTGCACCCTGGGGGGGGAGCCTTGGATGTGTTGTGCGTTTTGGCCGACCGAGGATCTCGTGCTCTTGAGGGATGCTTCCCTGTCCCAGGTCCGACTGCATTTGTTATCCTAGAGGAGCTTGCGAGGCGCGCCCACGATTGCCTGCTCCTCGCCGCGCTGGACGGGCGCCTGGCATCGGCCATGCCCCAGGGGCGCAGCGTTCAGGACAGCGCGTTCCGCCCCGCGAGAGTCGAGCACGAGGGGGGGGGTGTCGGGAGGAGCGGGGGCGAGGAGCGGATGACTCGGCGGGAGGAGGAGAAGGTGGAGGAGGGGGGAGGAGGAGGAGGAGGAGGAGGAGGAGGAGGAGGAGGAGGAGGAGGAGGAGGAGGAGGAGGAGGAGGAGGAGGAGGAGCAGGAGCAGGAGGAGGAGGAGGAGGAGGAGGAGGAGGAGGAAGAGAGGGCAGCAGGAGGAGGACAGTACATACAAACAATAATAATAATTGTCATACGAATCATCATAATACGAATGGGGAAATTCAGAGTACGATTAATCAACAAGAAAACTAATACGATGAAGTGGAAACGTAATAATAAGGAGAATAGCGAGCATCTCGTGGGGGAGGAGGACGCGAGGAAGGGAGGGAGGGAATCAGAGCAGAAGGGAGAAGAACAGCAGCATGAGCAGCATAAGTGAAAGGAGGCTTGGGGGAGGAGGGAGGGAAGCAACGAGGGCCTCCAGAGGACGTCCCGTAGGGCCGGCTAGACGAGGGAATGGAGCGAGGAGGCAAGAGGAACAGCAGGACGGATGGATGGAGAAAGGGGTTGAGGTGAACGGAAGGAGGAGGAGAAGGAGGAGGAGGAAGAGGAGGAGGAGGAGGAGGAGGAGGAGTAGGAGGAGGAGGACAGACAAGGGGAGGACAAGGACAAGTAGGAGGAGGAGGAGGAGGAGCGGAGCTAGGAGGGGGGAGGAGCGACTGGGAGGGCCCCAGGAGCTGGCCGGGCGGGCGCGGGGCTCCCTGCTGCTCGGCCGGCTGGACGGCCGGCTGGCGGAGGGGCTGGGCCGTTGCAGGGGCGAGCGGCGCCGCAGCGCCCCGCGCCCGCCCGGCGGCGCGGGCCGCGCGGGGGAGGCGAGGGGCGCGGCGGAGGCCGGCGGGCGCAGCCGTCACGAGGCGCCCCCGGCCCGGGGTCGCGACCAAATGGTCGGGAGCCTTGAGACGGGGGTCAATGCAAACGGGGGTCAGCCACGGCGCCGGATCCTGCAGGATCCTGCGAAGACCCCCTCTGGCTGACCCGGGTTAGGGAGCCGTTCGTGGCCGCGAGGCGGCCGCGCCTATTGGCTGACCCGGGTTTGCGAGGACCTGCGTTGCAGTTTGTTTTTCCTGCATTGCAGTCTTTGGTTTCCTGCTGACCCGGGTCTGGATTGACCCGGGTCAGAAGATCCCCGAAATGGGAGCGAACAGTTTTAAGATGATAATAATAATCATCATCAGCAGCAGCATCAGCATGATGATGATGATGATGTTGATGATGATGATGATGATGCTGATGATGATGATGATGATGATGCTGATGCTGATGCTGATGATGATGATGATCATCATCATCATCATCATCATCGTCATCAGCATCATCATCATCATCATCATCATTTTAATTGTAGTAATAATTCGATTAATTCTGCTAATAATGCTACTACTAGTTGAACATTATTTATTCTAAAGAATAATTATTGTTGGGCCCCCTGGTGCACGCCCCCCCTGCGCCGCCTAGGCCGCAGCTACATTTTCATCATTTTCGTGAGGAAGCCTCAGGTAAAACGATATGATCCAGATCCGGTTGTTTTGTTGTAATCCGTTTTCCCCTTGCAAAAAACACTATAAAATGACATTTCTTGTTCTAATATAATCAAATTTCAAGAATCCCTTGCAAAAAATAAGGTAAAGTGGACATTCGCCGGCGCATCCAAATCCGTAGGCTTTTTAAACATTTCTGTCAAACGGGCTTTTGCGAGCAACTTTTTCGAACTTCTGCGATTGCGCACCTTTCATCATATGCGGGACACATAAAAAACCATGTGGGTGCGTACTCAAGTGCCACGAGGCCACGTGAAGTGTCCGAACGTCATAGGGCGGGAAGCTGGGTGTGGGTGGTGGCGAAGAGTCGTGAGGATATTTGGTAGAGCTTGCACTGCCCCCCCACAAAGTGGGGGTATTGGCTGGCGTCGCATGAAAACCCTGGCACTGGTGAGAACACTGAGCGTTCGGGTAAAGTGATTGCAGTTGTTGTTGTTGTCGTTGTCGTTCTCGTTATCGTTGTCGTTGGTGTTGGTGTTGTTGTGGTTGTTGTTGTTGTTGAAATCTCACGACTGCAGAGTAAGTGTTGTTGATTCCCCTCGCCCTTTGTTGACCATTGCATTTTCAGTTGAAGTGCTCCCCTTGGATCCAATTGGAGCTCGCACCCTGTTCTTTCTGAGGGAAAGTCACGGGGCACTAACTGTGTTGTTGGCCCCCTGTTCACAACAACAACGGTTCCCGATTCAAATTTCTTCACAATGTATTCCCAAATCGTGCTCTCGCGCGGGACTTCCTCACAATTTGTGTACGAATTGCGCTGAGTTGATTCAGACGATGCGCCCTTTGCGCTCAGGAATCACGCTCTCGCTTTGGTTGTTCTCACGATTTACTTGGGAATCGCGCTCTCGCTCGAGACCTCCTCTCGATTTATGCTGGACCCACGCTTCAGCAACCCGCCTGCTCGACCTGGTCGCCTGGGCCCGCCTCCCCGACCTGCCCGCTATGGGTCTGCCTGCTCACCCCGATCTGCCCGTCTGGTTATACCGATTGTTTCTCTGCTAATTTCTCTCGTGCTCCGTTCTTCTCCCTTCCCATTCCACCCGTCTTCTCTTCCCTTGTTTTAGGGGCTGCGCTAAACGCACGTGGCAGGTCAGCGAGATATGTCCCCAATGGGGTACGATCGAAGACGACGAGGCCGGGTACCGAGTGTTTGGGATATACGTATTGATTGGCACGTGAGCAGATGGGAGCGAACAGTCTTAAACTGATTGTTGTTATTGCTGCTGTTGTTTGTTGTCTCTGTTGTTTAAGAATCATTTCAGGAACATATTTTCGATGATCTCCAGAAACGGTTCCGCGCGCTCTCGCGTCGACGCCAGCTACATGTTTTCTGAAAGCGAGGCCCCCGCGCGAGCGTTGGCTTGAGTGTAAAAGTGGGCCCCTGGAGGCCCGGCTACGAGGACAACGGTTCCCGCTCGATATTTCGTCACAATTTACCCCGAGACACCCTGGCCAGAGATTCCCCCGAACTCAGGAACGGCGCTCTCGCTCGAGGCTTCCTCGCGATTTAATTAAGTTGACGGAGGCCCAACCACGACGACAAAGGCTCCTGCTCGATACTTCTCACGATTTACTCTGAGAGCCCCTGGCCAGAAACCCCCGAACTCAGGAACGGCGTTGTCGCTCGAGACTTTCTTGTGATTCAATCATTTGGTGGACGGCGCTCTCGTTCGAGAATTCCTCGCACTTCAGTCAGCGGACGACAAGGAAGACATTCCCCTCGAAAAGGGGTGCAATCGAAGACGAAATGGCCTGCGATCGAGGGTTGGGGTATACAGTGTTCAAGACACGGGTGTCGATAAGAGCGAACAGTCTCAAAATGATTGTTGATGTTTTTTATTGCTGCTGCTTCTGATAATGCTTATGTTGTTGTTAATGATTTTGTTGTTTTTTGATTATCACCCCTGAATAATCAGTGGTGGTCCTCCTCCCTCCGGCGATTGTTCGATTGTTCAATCAAAGTATTCCTTCCGTGGTTTGCACCCGGGTTCAATTGTCAGGGAATGCTTGTGGCCACCAAGTTCTGCCGTGGCCCCCAGTTCGCAACAAGAGCGACAACGGCTCCCCAAATCGAGTCGTAGCGCGGGATTCGCTAGTTAGTGCCCTTTTTTTTAGTTTTTCGCTGGAGCGGAGTTCGCCGCCTCGCCGCTGACGGACAAGAAGTTTTCGCGAAGGACTTCCTGACCATGTGTTCAGGAACCGCCGTCTCGCGTGGGCCTTTCTTACAGTTGATTCAGACGTTACGCCCTCGACGCTCAGGAATCACACTCTGATCTTGGCCTTTCGCACGAATTACTTGGGAATCGCTCTATCGCTCGAGCTCTCCTCGCGCTTCCTGCAGCAGTCACGCTTCGGCAGTGCGCCACGACCTGGCCGTTCGGGCCTGGCTTCCTGACCCGCCCTCTCGGGTCTACCCGCCCGATGGGGCCGTCTGGTTCTGCCACGTGTGTTCTGCTCCCAGACCCTCCTCCTTCTCCCTCCCCCTCCTCCTCCTCCTCCTCCTCATTCCTCCTCGCTCCTCCTCCTCCTCCTCCTCCTCCGCCTCCTCCTCTTTTCTTTTCCTCCTCCTCCTCCTCCTCCTCCTCCTCCTCCTCCCCGTCATCCTCCTTCTTCGGTCATCCTCCTGTGCCTGCTGATTTCTCTCGTGTTCTATCCTTCTTCCTCCTCCCTTCCATCCTGCCTCTCTTCCCTTGCTTGTTAGGGATTGGAATACGTGCGCGTGGCAGGCAAGGAAACCAGGCCCCAAAGGGGGTACGATCGGAGACGAAGAGTGCGGGCACCGTGGGTTTGGAATCTACGTGTTGGGTGGCGCGCGAGCACACGGGAGCAACCAGCGCTAAAAGGTTATGTTGTTGGTGGTGTTGTTGGTGCGGTTGCTATTGCTGTGTATGTTGTTGTCGTTGCTGGTGTTGATGTTGTTGATAGTACTGTTGTTGGTGGTTGTGTTGTTGGTCGTGTTGTTATTGTTGCTGTTTTAAGTGTGTTAGTTGTGTTGTTGATGGCCATGATGTTTTTTGTGCTGTTGGTACCGCTGGTGCTGCTGCTGGTGTTGGCGCTGTTGTTGTTGCTTGTGGTGTTGATATTGTTGGTGGTGTTGGTGTCGGTGTTGGTGTTGGTGTTGGTGTTGTGAGGTTGTTGTTGGTGTTTGTGTTTTCGTTGTTGTTGTTGGTGGCGGTGTTGTTGTCATTATTGTTGGTGGTGGTGATGTTGGTGGTGGTGGTTGTGGTAGGGGTGGTGGTCTTGCTGTTGCTGTTGCTGCTGTTGCTGTTGAACTGTCCCCATTGAGGAATAATGTTTGTTGGTCCCTCCTCCAGTGACCATTGTTTTTTAACTGGGGTACTCCCCCCAGGGCTCGCATTCAGTTTGTTTCAGGGAAGGTCACTCGGCTCAAACTGCGTTGATGGCCCCCGGGTTAAAACAACAACGGTTGCCGCTTCAGACTTCCTGACCGTTTCGCCAGGACCCCCGCTCCCGCCTGAGATTTACCAGATTTACTCAGGAATCGCGCTCTCGCTTAGGATTTCCCTACACTGAATTCAGGAATCGCTTTCTCGGCGCTCTGGAGTCGCGCTCTCGCTGGAGACTTCCTTGCACCATACTCAAGAATCGCGCTCTTGCGATGGAATTCCCAGCCATTTTCTCAAACGCCGTGCTCCTAACATCCAGGCGCCCAGGAGTCGCGCTCACGCTTAGGACTCGGAATTGGGATCTCGATGCCCTTCGTGGCCTCGTTGCAGCCCTTCGTGGCCCCCTCGCTGCCCTTCGTGGCCCCGTTGCAGCCCTTCGTGCCCAGCTCGCTGCCCCTCGTGGCCCCGTTGCAGCCCTTCGTGCCCCCTTCGCTGTCCTTTGTGGCCCCGTTGCAGCCCTTCGTGGCCCACTCAGTGCCCTTCGTGGCCCGTTGCGGCCCTTCGTGCCCCGCTCGCTGCCCCTCGTGGCCCCGTTGCAGCCCTTCGTGGCCCCATATGCATGCCGTTCGTGGCCCTCTTGCTGCCCTTCGTGGCCCCACATGACTATGCCTTTCGTGGCCCCCGCTCGTTCGCGCCCGTCGTGTCCCCGTATGCATGCTCGTCGTGGCCCCGCTGTCGCCCTCTGTGGCCCCTTGCTGCCCCCAGTTGCCCCGTCCTTGGCCCCTCTGCGGCCCAATATACGAGTGCCCTTCGTGGCCACCGCTCGTTCGCGCCCGTCGTGGCCCCATATGCATGCCCTTCGTGGCCTCGCTGGCGCCCTTTGTGGCCCCCTCGCTGTCCTACGTGGCCCCGTTGCTACCCTCAGTGCCCCCGTCATTGGCCCCATGTGTGGCCCCGCATTATCTGCCCTTCGTGGCCCCCGCTC